TGGAGTTAGCCACGATAAGACAAGGGTTTGAAAATATAACTGTTTGCACAAATAACTCCTGTTTTTACTCAAAAATCAAAATGGTTATTACTTCTCATGTTTTTAAGAATTTCGAGGCGGACTGGATTTGATAAATAATTACTTACCCAATAAACTATTGAGAAAGATTTATCTATACTGACACTATTACCCGTTTGCACGAAGTGGCTCAATATTAAGCTGTTCACAGTCTCCAATTTTTCTCTCTTGAGCCACGCTAAAAGTTGTTCACGAGCATGAACATTTAAACTCCATTAAGTACAACTATTTCCACAAGAGTATTTGGATCAATCAATGCAAAAACAAGATGGTCTTTCTAGACATATTCATCTTTTAAACTTGGTGATATCGCTAGATACGTAGTAAACTCTATTTATAGTGTCTCGAGGTAGAATCTACTCCTAACTACTCTGGTATAATTTGAAGCGATGCATTTTGTATCTTAAACCTGACCATTTTATTCGAATGAATAATTTGGATATATAGAATTTGTTGGGGATGTTAGATCCCCAAAATTCGCTTGACAAATGCCTTAGCTTGGATTTCACGTTTGCCAGCATGGGCCGATCAGTTGACCTTGAGATTTCATTTCCCACCAGGAAAATCCATGGTTGTGATTGGCTGCTGTGTATTTTAGTGTGCTATTTTCGTAACTGTCCCAACGACGTTTCTATGATGTATAAATAAACGAGAGTTGTGTGCTTGATTGTATTGTGTGATTGCTGGGTGTTTGTAGAATGTACTTTCTACGCTTACAAAGCCTTCTATCTTCAGTTTGGTATTCAAGGTAGCCTATCTGGATGCTGGTAATTGTCTCGTTTGCGTTTATTGACTAGGGTAAACTCGTAATAGCTTCAAGCGTACCTAGTGACGAACCCTATAGAATTGTAAGATCTGAGGAATATTCTTCGTTCATATAATAATAAATCATATCGTTGTTAAACTATACAGAACTAATTAATATATGTGTGAAAAGTATCGTTATTTTAAATTACCAATTTCCTACAGAATAATTGAATTCAAAAAAATAATCGATTTTATTAAATACGAATGAATAAATTCAATTTTATGTTTATTCTATGTATCGAAAATGTTTACACTCAAATTTTGATAGAGTTGACAGCATATAGAGATGATAGCAAGCACAAACTCAAATCACATGAATTAAGAATAAAGAGATTTTAAGTGTTGAAGAATGTTTTTTTCTATATACTCGAATGAAACACATATACTACTTGTATATTTAGTAATTTGATTCGTTTAATCAAGTACTGATTAATTCACAAGTCACTTTCCAGGGTATAATTCAAAATATTTTTGGCAGTTTTATTATTCAAACAAGACTTGGGTGCAAACGAAAAATATGTATACAATATGTGTTCATATGTTTGGTTACATTAGAAGTAGTTCCTGGGTAAACATCGGTTGCTTAAACACTACACTGTACGGAAAATGTACTTTGATATTTTCAAATCATACAAATCAATGCATTCAACATGGAGGTACTTTTATTCACTCATGTGTTTAATTGTTGATCAATAGAATTTGAGTTGGTCACAATGTAGTGAAGAAGAACACCGGTTGGGCAACCGAATTGTACTTACTTACTTACGCCTGTTACCCCCAATGGAGCATAGGCCGCCCACCAGTTTTCTCCAACCAACTCTGTCCTGAGCTTCCCTCTCCAGTTCTGTCCAATTTTTGTTCATTCCTCTCATATCTTTCTCTATTTCTCGGCGTAGTGTTCTTTGGCCTTCCTCTTTTCCTTTTGCTTTGAGGGTTCCATGTGAGTGCTTCATTTAGGTGCTTTTCGTGGTGTGTGTCCTATCCACTTCCACCACTTCTTCCTGATTTCCTCATCCAATGGAATCTGGTTTGTTCTCTCCCACAGTTCGTTGTTGCTGATGGTGTCTGGCCAACGAATACGAAGTATTTTGCGTAGGCTATTAAACAATTGTGTCTTCTTGATGATGCCTTTCGTAGTTCTCCAAGTCTCCGCTCCATACAGTAGAACTGTCTTAACATTTGTATTGGAAATCCTGATTTTGGTTTTGGTTGAAAGTTGTTTGGAGTTCCAGATATTTTTCAACTGTAGAAATGCAGCCCTTGCTTTGCCAATCCGTGCCCTCAAATCTGCATCGGATCCACCTTGGTTGTCGATGATGCTGCCATGATATGTAAAAGCGATAACGTCCTTCAAGGCATCCCCATCAAGAGTGATTTGATTGGTGCATGTTGTGTTGCATCGGAGAATTTTGCTTTTTCCTTTATGTATGTTGAGACCTACTGCTGCAGAGGCTGCTGCTACACAATTCGCAACCGAACTGTCCTTAACGAAAATTACAGAGTTACTCAGTAAAATTGGAAAACCATATCGTAAATCATTAATTTGCAAAATATCAGTTCATCATATCGAACTGGACTGTTCCTGTTGCAAAACATCAATCCATTGTCACTATTCATGCGTTTCACACAAATTCCATTGTTTTCTAACTCTCCCTTGCTTGATCTTCCCCCATCTTCTGCTGCCAGACATTACGTTTACACTCACGTCATATACTACTTATAAGTAGCTCACACCACTATAATACTGTTTGTATCTTGATTTATCCTAAATTGAAAAAAACAGAAGATGTGCTGTTTTAGTAGACAAGACAATTTTTAAAAATCTATTGATTGATATACTGCGATGCAGCTTAAATAATATTGCTGCGTAGAATACTGTAATCTACTGCGGTAAAAAATTGAGATTACGAATATTTTAAAAACAGAAACTGTTTTCCATGAGCTATCGAAGAAGTGACTGAATTCATGTAGAACTTAAATATATACACGGTTTTTGATAACTAAATAGCTTTCAACATTATGCTTGGTGTTGATAACAGGTTAAAAAAAACACAACGTTGGATAAAATTTAGTTATTACTTACAGTTTACTTACACCTGTCATCCCTCATGTAGCATAGGTCTTCATCCAGCATTCTTCAAACGACTGTGTCTTGGTATTTCCTTACAAATGAGGGAGTACATGGATAAGAATAAAATAATCCATGAAGCTCAGCACGAGTTTCGGAAAGGCAGGTCCTGTTCATCTAATCTTCTCATAGCATGAGACAGTTGGATATCCTGTTTGAACCTTAAAATACCGGTGCACGTAATATTTCTCGACTTTGCAAAAGCCTTCGACAGAGTGCCCCGCGCACACCCAATTTGAATAGGTTGTGGAAATGGGCTTCACCGACCCACTTCTATCTTGGCTCAGAAACTACCTTGAGAATAGAAAGTTTCGTACCAAGGTAAATAGAGTGCACGCGAGTTGACGAGTATCCATATCGAGAGTTTCAAAGGGGACCATCTTAGTCCCACTTCTGTTCCTGATATTTACTAACGACCTGTTAGGCTTAGTTAACTCACCGGCAGTGATCTACGCAGACGACGCGAAGATCTGGAGGTCCATTAGAAACGAAGAGGATTCGACTGAGCTTCAAAAGGACCTTACATCTATTGAGAAATGGGCAGTGAAAAACGGTTTAAAACTCAACCAACTGAAGTGCCACGTCATGCATTTCCTGCCTCAAACGACCTACACCCCTAATGTCTCCTCAGAGCGCGATCTCGGTTTAATAACCACAGAAAGCCTCCACACCAGCCCAAACTATGTAGGGGATGCAGCCAAGGCAAATGCGACTCTTCACTTTATGCGAAGACAACTTGGTGCTATCACCCCGCAATTATTTTTGACTCTATTTAAGATGTACGCGCGCTCACAATGCAGGTTTACAATGTCATCGCACCCCTTCTGCTTAAAAGGGACATTAATCTCTTGGATCGAGTGCAGAGACGAGCAATCAAATGGGTGATAGGGTTGAAAAATAAACCTTATGACGATAGACTCCAGCGCAAAGTAATCAATAGGTTTACACTAGCTCGTGAAAAAGATATCGGAAATTGGATATTGAACTGCTGTTTATTCTTTTCATCTATGCCTCCGATTCTCAGTGCATTGTATTTCTTGTTTTACCTTTCCGCCTTCAGTCTTGAGGATTCCACGTTAGGACTTGCCTCGTGATGCTATGGTGGCCGACGCCTCACTATTTCGATGGCGGTCAGCATTCGATATGTCCTTAGACTTCGTAGGCTGCTCATCCAGACAACCCTTACTGAATAACGTTTCATGGTTTATAAATCAAACGAGGAATACAAATAGACCAACAAACCACCGGCAAACAGAACAAAACTTCACATGCAAGTGAATGAGCGAGTCGGTGACTGAATGATTAAGATTAAAATGTACATATATATACATAAGAAAATGGCTGAGTCATAGAAATATTTAAGAGACTAACATTAAAGCGAATAGCATGAATATGTTGTACGTAGGTGGTAAGCAATGTTTAGTCACATTTGCTTATACAAACCCGACAATAATCAAAACCAAATAACACAGTTAAATAAGTTAATCAAAAGAGCTTAACCAAATTAAAATATGACTAAACTCAAATGTATGTGGAGGTACTACAATGCAATCTGGTAATTTCTGCAATCTGTATCTGATCCACCTTATACGCTTCCTCTAAAACTTCTTCCTCAACTAGAGTCTGGTTTTGTTCTCTTCCACAGTAGATTATTGTTATCACTTACTGTAAACAAACAAAATACTATTCACATTTTTAAATATGAAACTAACAATCATTCTTAATGGCAAGTACTGTAATGTTTCCTCATAAATCCATATACACAAAGCAAAAAACCAAATCTAATTACTGTAAAGAAGTACCCTGTGAAATGAACTTTTTCTAATTGATTAGTAATACACTATGTTTATTCCCTTTTTTACAGATGGAACCATTCAATTCATGCATCAATATTAAATATCAACAATTGAACATTTAACTTTATTGATCAATTTAAACAATCTATAATAATTTGTCACATGTATCACGAATAAAAAAAATCAAAAAAATGGATGAAGCCAATAAAGAATTAATTAATCATGTACCACCATCGAATTCACGAACAAAATTACGACCACCAGGGAAATGTACCCTAGCTAGGAAACGTTTAAAACATATATTTAATATGCGAAAATATTTTTTATCAGTTATTGGTTTAACTGCTTTCGAAGCATTATTAGTATTGTGTCGTGTTATCCTGGAAACAGAATCATTACGTTTACCTGTAAGTGCAAACATGATAATATTTTATTGGGGTGTTTTTTAAAAAAATAGTAGTATTTTTAATCTATTGTGGTGTGGTTTTAAAATTGTAATCGAATTTATGATGTATATTTTGTTGTTGTCAAGATATCATCTTAGTTTCTGAAATCATGAATTGATCATTGTTAGACCAACATTAGAACCTGGAAGCAATGAAAGACGGCCTTTCCGTCTCATTATGGGACTCATCAGTGGAAGTGCTCATCCTTGACTCCTACTAAGCACAGGATTCGAACCCATTACCTTGGGTCTTGCACATAGACGCCTAACCTCTATACTACTGAGGCGGTATATAACGGTGTCACGTCTTCTACGTTAACACGTGAACTTGATATACCTGAACTATTACCTAGTAGGTATACGAGAGCGAGGATTGAGCATCCGGCGACACGACAAGCTACTCAAATCCGATTATCCGAACCCCCATATTGAGTGAAAATAAGACAAGACTTGATATGAAGTATAACTTGTATTCTACAAGCATCCAGAAAGCACGAGATCCGAGTCTAGAAGAGAATCAGGATTCCGGACTAGGAATCCGGGACCAGGTCCTGGTCGTGGTCATAAAACGTTACAGATAATGCGTATTTATGTATTTTGGTCAAGTGAGAAACGGCATCGAAGTCTGTGACATTGACAGTTAAGATGACCAATAGGAAGTAAAATTCGAAGTGACATTGATAATCAGGACAACCAATAAGGAACAACATTGGAGTACGTGGCATTGATATCTAGGACGACCATAAAATTGATCAGTAGGGATTAACCAATAGGGATTGACCAATAATTCTCTTAGGGTATTGGATGAATATCCTAACAAACGGTGTTAACGTCTAAACTCAATCTATTCATGACCAGATGCTGGAGTCGTGGATACGCACTGCTGATAAGTCCAAAACCAAGACGAAGCGGCTATCCAGTACTGCCAGGTTTCTAATGGCGGTCTAACATTGATGGATTGATGATTTCAAAAAGTAACTCAACAATCTCCACAATCCTATAATGCAGTATCCTAGTATTATTAGATACGAAACTAAGATGTGAATGATTTTAGTCAATTTATTATTAGTGTTGTGATGTTTCGTTCTCTGAGCTGGATGTTTTGATGGTCGATCTTTCATTGTTCTTCTTCTGAACACAACATCATCAGCACAAACTTCAAATAAAAGTGAAGTATTGTACTGATGATGTTGTTCAGAAGAACAATGAAAGCTCCATAACCAAAACATCCAGCTCAGAGAACGAAACATCACAACACTAATAATAAATTGACTAAAATCATTCACATCTTAGTTTCGTATCTAATAATACTAGGATACTGCATTATAGGATTGTGGAGATTGTTGAGTTACTTTTTGAAATCATCAATCCATCAATGTTAGATCACCACTGGAAACCTCGCAGCATTGGATAGCCGCTTCGTCTTGGTTTTGGACTTATCAGCAGTGAGCATTCATGGCTCCTGCATCTGGCCATGAATTGATCTAAGTTAGACTTTAACACCGTCAGATACCGCCTCAGCG